GGGGCGGGCGCGCGCGGGCGGCGGAGCGCGCGGGGTGGGGCGGAGCGGGGCGCGCGGCGGGGGCGGCTCCGGGCGCTACGGGAGGAGACGGCGGCGGCGGCGGCTCGGGCCCGACATAACAACGGGGTCAAAGGGCTCGGAGCGGGGCGAAAGGGGCGGGGCTCGGCGACGGCGGCCGCGGTGGGACACGGCGAGCCGCGAGCGGAGGGGCCGGGCGCCGTTTGAAGGAAAACAAAGCGCGAAGGCCGCCGGGAGCCGTAGGCGGCTGCGCCGAGACGGCGCGGCCCCGCCCCCCCGGAGGACTACAGCTCCCAGAGGGCGTCGCGCGCCGCTGGGCATTGTGGGGCGGCGCTGCGTCGGGGCCGCCCGCAGCATGGAGCGTACCGTAACCGGACGGCTTCGGTAGAACGCGAATTGAAGCGGCCCGGAGGCGGCTGACAAGCGAAGGATGAAAAGTGGCGCGTTGCGATGCGATAAATCTGATTGAGTTTATTACGCGCTGTGTTTTAGGGTCATTTTACATTCCTAGACGGAAAAAAAAAAACAAAAAACAAATAAATACGGGCGGAATTATCGTCGGGAGGGGATGGGCGCGGGGGGGGGCAGCGGGACCCCCGGTGTCAAAGCCAAGGGATGGGGAAGGCGGGCAGCGCCGTGTTATGGCAGCACACCTCAGCCTGGCGCTGGGCTTTGTGCAGGTTCCGTTCGCCAATCTGTGCTTTAACGCAGCACGAATGGAATGGTTTAAAGCCCGGACGTCACACGGGAAAGGACTGCAGGGCTGCGGGTGTCTCCGAACCTCAGTGCATCTCCAGCGAACAGAAGCCTGCTCTGATCTGTGTAATGCAGCTAAAACGCTGTCACAAAGGTATGTGTCTGAGAAGATTGGAGCAGCATGGCAGTATTGTTAAAAAGGCATCCAATCTGTAGTAAGGATTTTAAGAAAGTGCTTGAGCTCTTACACCTCAGTGCTGCTGCCAGAACCAGAGGGCCGCTTCTGCTGCACGTCGCTGTTTTGGAAGTACAGATCCCATTATACAGATCAGAGCGAGGATAAGGATGTAAAAGGTCCCCATGAGAAAAGCTGGGGCTGTGCACAATGTCCCAGGGCCTCTTGCAGGAGTCTGCTGGATTTCCTGTCTTTGGCAGTTAACCTGCAGGAAGCCCAGATGGTTCAGATAACACCCAGAGGCACGCAAAGCTTGGCAGGAATGTTCATTAAAAACTTTAACCCAGTGCTTGGTTTGTTTTGTAGAGCTTAAGACAACGCACTTCCCTTAATATCAGTGCCACCAAGTATCTGCTCATGGGTAAGTCCATCGAAATGTGAATCTAAAAGCTTCTGTAACAATCTGTAGCACACTAACCAAACCTCTAACCACAGCTCTGATTTCAATACAATGACTAAATATGCAATTTTATTCTTTTTTCCATCCTACTGAACTTCTTTCACCTTGCTAATGAATTTCTACAGAATTAAAAGCAGAGCCTTTCTGACATATCAACCAGCTAGCTTGTCAACATTGAAACGAGAACAGTTTGGGTTTGCACTGTAATTTCCACCATCCTGGTCCTGCCACAAGGGGAGTTTCCAGCATTTGAATGTAACATAGAATTCCCTATGGAACTGTGGTGACTGAGGAAGGGTGTGAGTGTGCAAACACAGCTGTGGCTGTGTGTGCATATCCACGTTAAACATACATGTACATATAGGTATGTACAGACACATGTATATATATTAAGTTGCTCTGACAGGTTGTAAAACCCCCTTGTTTCATTTCAGTTCTCTGAGCATTTACAGCATACAATCATCTTTTAAAATGTCAAAGTACAGAAGGTTATGAGCTAGAGAGAAAGACGGAGGAGAGGGAAGAGAAGGTGACATTATATTATGCAACAAGAGCTAATTAAAAGGCTCTCTGTACATAAACAGCACTTTATAAAAAGGAAGATTATGCCAGGTTTCCACGTTCTAGTTGAAAGAAATTTGTCAGATGACTGCTCTCTCAGTTACAGGCAATCTCATCTTTCCTCCACCAAAACTAAAATATATATATGTGTGTGTATATATATATATATTAATCTTGTGATCCAGAAAAGCACTCCACGAATCAAAGCAGCTGACTTAGAGTTTAACCATGCCCACCCGGGCAGCTGGCTCACCGAGGCACCGTGCCCGCAAGATGCAGAGGTGAGCTGTGCTGAGTGTTCAGTTCCTTCTGCTCATGGGGGTCAGATATAATGGAGTTCTCCAGCCTGGGTGAAGTCACTCAGCAGATACGTAACGAGCACACAAGGTAGAGTCCATATATCAGAGCATTTCTAAAACCAGGCAAGTCCTCAGACACTCACACATGTCAGTCTGGAGGAAGTCATCAGTGAAGGAGAGGAAATAGGTAAAAACATTCATAGGATGACAGCCAACAGCAACCAGAAAAATGTAACATCCCAAGTCTCAATATACAACAAACTAAAACTTATGAATGAGCTGTGCAACACTAGACAGGGACACCTTACTGTCTTCAACATGGCAGCTCCATCTCCCTCAACCCTGCCACACGAGCCTGCAGCTTTACAGTAGCCTGCTTAAGTCAAAGGGCAGCTTGCAGAGACCATCAGAAGCAGGAGTTCTTCCTCCCTTGTTTTCAAACTACAACCCCTGGATTTAGTACCAGATTTCATTATACAGACTTGGCTTTATGTGCTTTCACTCCCACTGGGCCCTGCCTGGTGCGGGAGGTGCAGGGGACAAGCTTCTAATATGGAATGGGTGAGGCACAAAGAGTACCGTGTGTTGAAGCTCCTTAGACACCAAGGGAAGGGACCATACTTACAAGAACAGTGCACAGATGGCTTCTTGTCACGGTGCTCTACCCTCGACCCAGCTTACAGGGGAGAGCAGAGGCAGCCCTATAGCTCCATGCCAGTGCTACATTTCCTGCCACCAGTGGGAGGTCTGAGAAAGTTGCCATGCACCACACCACCGTTCAAAGTGTGGATACTGGTTTCAAATGCCAGGGAAGAAGATGGAGGCAACAAAGAGGAAGCAAGCTGTGGAGCTGGCACTGGAATGCAGGTGTATTCTTTGACAAGGTGGTTCTTGTTGGTAGGGGTGTGATCTGTAGGAGGTCAGTTTAGTGGAGCTAAACTTATGCTTGTAAACAAGGACTTCAATTTCTATTGCTTCCTGCCTAGAAAGCAACAAAATTCTTTGAAGTCCCTTTTTTGTCCTACAGTTTGAAAGGGAGGCACAGCTATCTGGTGGTGAGTACATGCTGACAGCTGCCGATCTGCCCGTTCAGATCAACTTCTTAACCCCAAATGATGATGCCAGTCTTTCAAGCAGGAAGAGGAAAAACTGCACCTAGTCAAGTTTGGGTGGATCCTCTGCTTTTTAACCTCATTTCATTCTCACTATGAAGCTCTGGAGCGGTGGTTCTGTTGAGATGACTTTCAACTCTGTCTTCTTACCGCCCAACAAAAAAGCCAAGTGCAGCAAAAGGGCTAGTGCAGGAGGAGAGATGGTGACGCTGTGAGGTGATCCCCATGCTTCCCATTGCTTCTAATACACTGTAACGTACCTCATGCATTTCTGATTTCCTAACTAAAATCTGTTTCCTACAGAGGCCAAATGCTGAATTGCAAACACGTATCTTCCTGTGGCTCAGTGTACCTGGACTGGCACAAGTCAGTTAAACAGCAAAGAGGCCACCTCCAGGGGAAAGGGGTTGGAGTCTGGCTGGGAGGTCTCTCTGCAGCTTTTTACTTGTCTCTGCTCTCAGAAGGCAAAAGCTGTTCACGCCCTGGAGAGGAATTGCTGGTTTTACTTTGGAACCAGCCCTCGGGACTGTGGGTAGAGCTGAGAACTATGGGTGCCTGCTGAAGAGGATCCCCCTGATTTCCTTCCAGTTTTAGGCCTGAAGAAGTAAAAATGAAAAAATAAACAAAAAGCCCCAACAATGTCACCTGTTACATGTCAAAATTAATCTTCCAAAGCTGTTGGTTATTTTTTTTTCTTTATACTGGATTTATTTTCTAATCAGTCCCAGCTTTCTCTACTACCCTATGTTCCTTTCTTTCTATTTCTGCTTTACAGCCAAGTTAGCCATAGCTTTACTGATGAGAATGTAGACAGAAAGCAATTGTATTTGTAACTCTATCTGCTAGTCTACTTACTAAAACATTTGACTCACCTGGATTTTGGTTTTTTATTTGAAGTGCTCTCAAAGGTTGAAGCATCCACCTGGATCTCGTCTTCATCCTGCAAAGCTGCTTCTAGAGCTGCCTGGACTTTGGGAGCAATGGCTGGACCTTCGTAGTCTCTTGTTGTTCGGCTGGGCATGTCAAGTTCCAGTAATACAATATTCTCTGCCTGAGGAAGTACAAGTGGAATTAAAGCCTATACACTTTCATACAAATGGTTTCTTTTCCTCTGGAAACTTATTCTGCAGGACATTATAAATACATGCAAGACACTCTGTACGTCCCATCAAAGAACAATCCTCTGAAATTTACATTTCTCTGATTAGGAAGGTGAATGTATGAAGGCTGTAGCCACATCTGGGCTTACCCTGTACCGAGCCTCTGGACGAATCATCATGGACGTCCTGGCATGCTGGCTCAGCGGCCTTTTGTATCCTACAGCAGACACTGGTCTTTTCATCATTTGCTGGTTACTAGAAAACACATATTCAGTCTATCATACACCAAAAGTGAAGACTTCTTGGAGTTTATGAGGTAAAACATTTGGAGATGTATTTCAAGCAAGCAGAAACTACCTAGACTGCATTTCCCAGAACAGCTCTTCCTACAGACAGAGATGAGAAGGTAAGATTGTTATCCCTTGGCATCTGCATCTGTTCCCTGCATGAAACGAGGGATTTCTGCATAATTTTTATCACAGAGGCCACAGATGCACACAGCTGCACCTAACATTCTAAGTTTACTTTACAGAACCTCCCCTGTAAAGAGGTAGGATCTATCCACAGCTCTCACATCATAATTTTTGAGAGCTTTCTTAACCAAATCAGACAACAAATATGATAAGAGCTTACTGATATTAAATGGTGCACGCAGTGTTACACATATTTTACATTTAAATGTCAGGCTCACTTAGAAGAAATTTTCCAAACTGTATATTCCTATTTTATTTGACCTACTTAGATGAATGAAAACTTTGTTTTACAACACAGCAAGAATACATAAGAACTCTGGAAGGCTGTTTCAAAACCACGATTTTCTCTGTTGGAGTACCTTGTTTTTGGCAACTAGAGGGCTTTATGTGACCTAGGATTTGATCTTAATTAGAAAATCACAAGTACACTCACTCCAGACGGGTTATGGGATGCAGTTTCCACTGGTCTTCCTCTTCATCAAAGAATGACCTGTTCATGATCTTATTCTTTTCTTCCAAAGGAATAAAATTTTCAATAATCAAGTGCCTGCATACAACCACAAAAATGGGAAATACACAAGAAATACAGTTAGCAGATGACTCTCCACTGCTCCTCTCCCTGGGAATTAATACAGCCCTGGAAAAGGGAGGAACGTTTTAGCTTTCTCCTGTTTAAATCTTGTTCTGCAAGCATATGAATTCAGTCCCTCCTTTTACTCCCCACCCATAGAAACAATCTCTGTTACAGTTACCAGCAGGCAATGAAGTGAAGGGACTCACTTCAGCTTTAGTTCCCTGGTAAGCTCATTCTGGGTCTGTTCCAGTTCCTGGCGCTCCTTGATGTGCTCTTCTTGGAGATCATGGATCTCTGCCTTCACAGCTTGCAGCTTGGAAAATAACTGGAATAGACCACAGGAGCCAAAGTCACAAATTTCCAATGTTCAGGGGAACATTCTCACACACAGGCTGGTTTTATTTAAGCCACGAGATGTGGACTCACGTTCTCTTTACCTTTTTAAGTTTCTTGGTCTTTATATCCACCTCTTGCTGAAGAGAACTGTAGGTCTCCTTCAGCTCCAGTGTTTCCTCATCCCGACTTTCCATCTGCTGCTGGATCTCCCGCTCCCGACGTTTCTGAAGAATGCCAGGTACAAAAAGTCAGAGACCACAACTGCCCTGCTACCTCCAGGCTGACTGCACGAATCCAACACTCGGGAGGCTTTTACTTCCCTGGGCTCCAGGGCTTTTGCTTTAGCTTCTAGTTCTTCCTATCTCTTGCCTTAGAAATACCAGAAGCATTAGCTCTTCTTTGCCTTTATCCTGCTGAAGGGTCTATTGGAATCAGATAGCGTGAATAAGTGCTCAAGCTTTAATTAAAGTAATTAAACGCTGTGTTTAAATTTTTTTTTTTAAATCAATTCATACAACAAAGAATGCATAACAGAAAATAAGCTTCTATCATATAATAAGCACCTTTTCTCCTGAGTTAACAGCTGTCACAGTCTGAGGCCTTCCAATTAATTCTTCACTTACAGACACAGCATATAAAAGTTCCATGTGAAAAACTGGAAGAGAACTATTACAAACCTCCTCTACCAATTTCACGCAACAAATAGGATGCAAGCCCTTGCCCCTTCTTTTGAAATCAACAGTTGCCATTAAAGCAATGCCAGGGTTAGCCCTGTGCAAACTTTCTTGCCTTTTCTCCTCATACAACCTTTTATAAAAGTTCTGCAGGTAGGTTTGGGCTGGGTTTTTTGGTACACAGTAACTAACGCTGCTGCTTGTACCTGTTCTGCAATCTCCTGTCGTTTCTGTTCCAGGATTTTCTGCTGCTCGTTTGTGTGATCCACAATATTTTTCCCTCCCACCAGAAGTTTGCTTTCCATTGCCTGAAAGAAAAAGACAAGGTTGTACGTTTCCCTCCTGGTGACCAGATAACAAAGTCTTTCCTACAGAACCCGACTTTCTCTACTTCTCCAACTTCTTCACGAGGACACCTCCCTTACTTAACATTCTCTTGTAAGTCAGATGCTATGAGAATGGCTATTTCTAAACATCCCTACAAAAAGTAGGAGTCAATGAAGCCATAACTTGCTTAGAATTACAAACTCCTGCAGTGTGGCCTATCTGAAGAACTAAAATGCATATTCTACGTAAAAAAAAACTTGTTAATGATCTGTTGCACAATGAAGCATTGTTTGTTTCACAGCTTGTGATAAGATGTATCATCACGTCTTACTGTGCAGATTGCTGAAGATTCCACAAGACCAGCACATAAGAACAATGCAACAACTCATGAATATTGAAGAACGTAATTAATGGTGGAAACGCAACAAAATCTTCTGATCAAACACAAATCACTATTCTGGAAAGCTTTTGAAATATTCTTCCAAATTAAGCAACCAGCTATTCTCCCCATAGCCTATCTAAATTGCTTGTAAGAAGTACGAAAGCACAGCAAAGAATTCTACCTTGATTTTAGCACTCAGCATTTCTGTTGCTTCCTTCTCTCGCCTCAAGTCCTCCATTTTCTTCTCCTTCTCTTTCAGCAGTCTCATCTTTTCTTCGGCTACCAAGCTGTGGTCCTCAACAATAGCTTTCTTTTCAATCTCCAGCTTCTCTTGTTGCTCTCTCCAATAGTCATCTTTGTCATCCCCTTCATCCTCACCCTCCTCAGTATCCTCCTCTTCTTCCCCACCCTCTCTCCTCCTTTCCCTCCTCTTTCTTTTGCCAATAGACCGCTTCTCCAGCTGTGCCTTGAGTCGCGCGATTTCTTCCTGGAATTCACGCAGCAGAGCATCCTTAGGATCCTCATTCACTCTTGGCTTGTTCTTGATGTTTTTGGCACGATTGGCATATCTCAGCGTCGTGAGAGTCTCCTCTACATTGTAAGAGGCAGGGCCTATATTGGCCACCATCACGGTCTTGGCATTGCCACCTAATGAGTCTTGGAGTAACCTAGTTAGCTTTGAGTCCCGGTACGGAATGTGTGTGCTTTTGCCATCTACTAGGGCAGATATAACGTTGCCCAAAGCTGAAAGAGAGAGGTTGATTTTTGTAGCTTCCTTTAACCTCTCCCCCTGTGCTCCAGTCTTAGCTTGGCGCTCGCTGCCTGCAAGGTCTACCAGGTTGAGTTTTCCGACACGGATGTGATTCTCTCCATCGAGTCCCAGCTCACTGCATTCGATAGTGATCACAAAAATGGCGTGAGATCGAGAGCTGTGTTCATTCATGTTGGTGGCACCAACGGAGCGATTCTGGTTTCCCACGTTCATGACATGCTCTATCTCTTTGACACTTTTTGTAACGAAGGAAGACAAATCCTTCACGTATACACCTGTGTCTGGCCTCTCTTTTAACTCCAGCCGTTTGGATTGATCCTTTGATAACAAGTCTCTGATTTCTTCTTGGTATATTTCCAGATAAGAAGCTCTAACTAGGTACTGCTGATTTTGAGATCTAGAGATGTGGGTGAAGATGTGCTCAAAAGAATTGGGGATGACCCCTCTTTTTTCAGGATCACCACGCACCCCCTCCATCGTGTAGGTTTTCCCCGTTCCAGTCTGCCCATAAGCAAAGATTGTCCCATTGAAACCTTGCAGAACAGAGTCCACAAGAGGTCTGAAGGTCTCATCGTAGAGTTCAACCTGTTTGGAATTCCAGTCGTACACAGCATCAAAGGTGAAAGTTTTAGGCAGTTCATGAGATGTTCCCCGTGGATTCTTCACCGAGACCTGCCCTAATTTGACATCCACATTAACAACCTTTTCATATGAAGCTGACTTCTCCTTGCTGTTCATCGGCCGGCATCGAACCACCACCCGAACAGACTCAGAGCTCTTTAACTTAGACATGGCAGCAGGTCTGTGGCTGATGTGACGACAGATGATCCAGTGCTAGAAGCCTAAAACAAAAAAAAAAGAGGAATAAACAAAGGCAGTTTCCTACAGATGGCAATTTTGCCAATAGTCAAAGATTCCACTCATCTATTCAAGCAGGATTTTGGCATCATTTAGCTTTTTGATGTAAATCTCCTACTTTGAAAATCCAGTACAGAGTTGCTCTGTCCATACTGCCTGGAATACAGCTTGAAAGGGAATCAGTCAGGTGCTTTCATTAAGCGCTTCACCCACTTATCAAGATATCAATGTGGTATTTTCTGAGTGTCCTCTTTTTACACCTCCAGTGTACCGAAGAAAACTCTTCATTTTTATGAGACCTTTATGTTACAATTAACTCACATCTGCGATGATGTGGTGCATCATCAGGACCATCCTGCCGCTACAGGCTTAAAACCTACACCCTTTTTTTTCTGAAGCAACACTAGTGCATTGGAATGCCGCCCAAAAGCTTTTTCATGAATTAAAACTCGTGAAGCTGCTTCCTAGAAGCCCACTTACAGCACAATAGATGTTCCAAACAGCAGCCGCGAGGATTCAAAATAACATCATTAAATAGTCTGCCCATTTTTCATCCCCTGAATGTTATGTTTCCACACCAGGGAAAGCTGATGTTACCTTTACATTCTTCCAAGAATCGAGAGACAGAAATTCTTACACCAACGTTTTCACAAAGCCATGCAATCAAGCTGACCACAAAGCAAATCATCAAGGCAGCCAGATGTAGCACAGTCATTGTGCTTGCAAATATTGTCAAGCAAACCAGCTAGGTGAGTACATCACCGCAGTGAGCTGCACTCCAACACCAACCAACAATGAAGAGGACAACTTCCACTGCTCCATTTGGGCACGGTGAGGCAGTGAGCTGCAGCCCTGGCTGAGCAGCTCATCTGCTTCCTGAGTGCCCAGGTATGGCTCAGGGTGTAGTGAATGCATTTGGAGGCAGACTCACAATGACCACAGCATGCAGCAAACTGAGCAGAGCAGTTAGAACCATACCGTTGTTAAGGAAGACCTTCAAGACGCCCAGTACGCAGTGCCAACTGCCCACGTCCCTCAGGGCCACATCTCCAGAACCCACATCTCCAAGGACAGCGACCCCACCACTCCCTGGGCAGCTGCACCAGCACATCACTGCTCTTCAGAGAAGAAATCGCTCCTAACAAACACCCAGCTTTTTGGGGTCGGACCAGCAGATCTCCAGAGGTCCCTTATAAGCGCTGTGATTCCGTGCGGTTTCTCACAAGGAATGGCTGCTTGTGAGGGGAGCAGCAACCCGGCCGGCAGCAGCGCTCGGTACCGGGCCCGGCCGGCAGCGGGGCTGCGAGCACGGCAGGCACACGGCGCCCAGCCCGGTCCGTGGCCTCGGACCCGCGGCTCCCCTCAGAAAGACCCTCCGCGTTCCGTCACTCCTCACCTCGCTGCAGGCACCCCCAAATCCACCACCGCTCTCTCACGGCTCAAACCTCCCCGATCTCGGAGCTGACACATCCCGGCCCGGCCGCTTTTGTCCTTCGCTCCTTCCCCGCTCTGTTCTAAGCACGGGAGCCCAGTCCGGGCCGCTTCGCTCCCGCTGTCAAGCGCCAGCCCTCCGCCCGTCGCTCGCGCTCAGTCCCGCCTCTACGGGGACACCTCGGCCCACCGGGCCGGGCCGCACTCACCTGCGCCGTCACCATGGAGCCCCGCGGCCGCCTCCTCCCGCGGCACCGGAAGTGGAGGGGTGGGAGCGGCCGCCGCCCCTCGCGCACTTCCTTAGCAACGCGCTCCCGCCCCGCGGCGCCGCCACAAAGGGTTGGCGGGGCGCGCGCCGCCCGCTGCCACAGCTCTGAGGCGTGCGGGGATGGGGGGAAAGAAAGGAATGTCAGTGGCACGCGAGTGAATACAAAACCGATTTTATTGTTATTAAAAAAATAACACATTTGCTTAAAAAACAACAAACCCTCCATTCTCCAGAGGGAGGGAAGGCGCACCTCAGCGCCCTGCAGCACTCGGACCTTTCTCCGCTCGCCCCGGGCTCCTCTGAGAGCCCAGCAGTGCAGAGGCACAACCAGCTGACACGGAGCTGAAGCAGAGCCCTGTGTGCTGCAGAGCACCAGTCAAAGGACGGGATTAAGAAAAGAAGTCGGGCAAATTGGGACTTGCCGCACCCAAACTGCACCGGGCCAAACGGCCTGCATCACCCAAATGTTTGTCTTGTTGCTGCCTGTTCCCAGTTGGCCGTGCTGGGAGCGAACCCTACAGGCAGGAATTCTGCTGTCAGAGGGACTATTTTCACAAAGTACAAAAATAAAGAAAAAAAAAAATAAAACCCCCAAACCGCTACCAAAGACCTGAGGATGATTTACACCAATCCCCATGCCAGCTACTTCAGATGTTTTGACCTAAGAACAGTTAGACTTCTATTACAGACCTCCACCATCGACAGCTACAAAGCCCTACGTCTCCAAACTCTGCCTGCCTAGGAGAGATTTCCCATCTGTGTCCAACAAAAGGACAACTGCCACGTGTAGACACACCACCACCCTACTTCTCCAGCACCACTGAGATCACTGTGCCCCACAAATGCTCCTTCTCACAGCGCTGCTGTAAGAGGGGATTAAATCTCTTTACAGGGAATGGAAAAAGAGGCACTGAGGTGATGTGGGTCCAGTAAGGCAATGGCACTCAATAAAACCCAGACCTTACAATTTCCAATCCTAAGCTTCATCTTGCACTCCTATTCAGGGACCACAACATTCCTGAATATACTTTGCACCTGAAAAGAAACTTATGATCAGTTTTGGACAATAAGAAGCTTAATGACATTTCCAGATAAAATTAATAATGAGAAGAAAAAAAACAATAATTTGAGCAGCTTCTTCATAATTGTTGGCAAGCCCACCCAAAAGAGGATGGAGAGCTATATAAACTACGTCTTAATAACTACATATAGTTTACAGTTTCCAATAAACTACATGATTTTGAATTTCTTTTCTGTCTGGTATCACAGAAGTGAAGTCAGACAGAAGAGTGACTGTGCAAAGTATCCAAGGGTTGGAAACATCTCTGCCACAACCAGGCAGCACGCTCTGCACAGAGTGATCAACACCAGCATGGTCCCACAGCGAGGCACCAGGTTTAGAGCCCTGAGAACCATCAAGCCTGCTCCTCTTTCGGTCAGAATTCGTCCCGTAACCTTGGAGGGTGGTCCATGCCAAAAAATGAAGAGGGTTTTCCATGCACATCGCGCTCTCTTTTTACAAATGCAGTAAATGAAGAGACACAGTTCCCAATGAAGTGATCAGATTGGCCAAGGATGTACAAGTCGATCTGAGCCACCTCTGGCTGCAAGCTTACAACTTTGATCTGTGGAGAAAAAGAAGGAAAGTAAATGAATCTAAACATCTAAACACCCAAATGTCTGTCTTCACATCACACTAGAAATGGGAACATACAACACAAAAAGAGTGGATTCTGCCCTAAGTTGCCCTATAATTCATCTATGAGTAGATAAAGGTCAAATCCTTTTTGAAAGATCACCTAGAGATAAATGTGTCTCATCACATCTTGCATTTCTCCCTTATAATCTACAGAATTAAAATGGAGTCCAGAAAGCATGAAGACAGGCTGAGGTCCTCAGAGAGGCATTACTGGTGTTCGTTTCAGCACAAGATTCCAAATGCTTCAGGACACTTTGCCCCTCAAAGACAAGCAGCCAACCCCAGCGTGCCAACCTCTGCCCAATCTTTCCACTCACTCACTAGGAAGTTTGACTCTTATTTCAACAACAGGCTACTTTGACACCTTAGATTATTAAACCTGATGTCCCTGGAGATCTATTACACAACTGTGCCTGCTGTCTGTGGGAGTAACATATCAGAATCTGAGGACAGTTTTTACTGAAGCACTTTTGCTGGATCAAGTTTCTGGAAGACTTACCCTTCCTTGGAAGAACTGCTGTATTTCCTTTGTGTAGGGCTCAGAATCAGTAGCAATATAAACAGATTTGGCTTCTGTCTTTTTCACCCAGACCTTGAGAGCACGCTTGATCTCTTTGAGGTCTGGCAGGCACATGTCCATGGTAAGGGGCACAGCAGTGCTGCGGTCATAGCCCACACACTGAGGTGAAGCCATGAAGTGAGACCCAGCCGTCCCATCCTTTAACATGTTACAAGCATTTTTCTGTTGGAAGAAAAGAAAAGATGTTAGAATGAAAACAGCAAGTCCCTCACCACTGCCAGCAGCATTACAATCTGTCTGTAGGAGGAATCCCAGCAGCATTTCCAGCACTCAAACACTGTGAGCTGCTGAATGTAAATACAATCAGGCTTCAGAAGGGCAGTTCCTATTCCAAGTGTTTTTCTGCTGAATGTTAGTCACCCCCACCTACAGCAATTCCATGGGTTACAGCAACAAGCCTTACAGAGGAACCATACCCAATCTGAGCCAATCCTCAGGTGAATTCCTACGTAGGGCCTAACCAGCAGAGAATGAATGTAGGCTTCTCCTTTCTTCACCATTTCATCAGACCACACCATGTACTTATGGAGCGGTCGGTGCTCCTCTAAGACTGGAAACTGGGCTGGAGCTCCAGGTAAAGCAAGTACAGGGTGCTCAGATGGTGGAAACCTAAGGGGAAACAGACAGGAATACGGGAATATAGCAATTCTGCGTGCCTAATTAAGCACAGAGAGCACTGCAAGTGAGTTTGTGAAGGTCAGAATGGAAACTGAACACCCTGAGATATACAGTATCTTTTATACCAAACTTACACAAGATAAATCCTAATCATTTTGCTACAGGAACAGAACACTGACATAAAACTCCATCTCTGGAGGTCCCTTCCAACCCCTACAATTCTGTGATTCTGTGATTACCACCTTTTACCTCATACCTGGTAACAAATAACAAAAAGTGCTATTTGAAGATAAAAGGACAGCAATCTGAAACACGAAGCAACGAGTGGTAATTTAGCTTATGTCTTCATCCCAGGCTAGAGCAATTATGTCACCCAAACATACTGATATGACTAAAGTCACTTATGACTCAGTAAACACGAAGCAAGCAGCAAAACAGTTCATGATCAGCACGGCTCAGAAATCCATCAGCCCAAAGGAGTTCCTATTTAATGCCCACAGGAAGAGCCTGCTCAATGAACAATTCATGAAAAAAGTATTAATGTTTTTGTTATATTGCTACGTAATCACTTCAATCTCCTCCTCAAATTATGATGGCTCTACAGAGTGACTAGAAGAACTGTTTTCCTGAGTGATTCTGAAAGCCCACACTTCTCCAGCTTCATGCTACCTTTGGAGCCAATGGTCCCTGTATGCAGAACTGAAGGAGATCCCCTTGAAGAGTTCAGACTTATCAAAATCCACTTTGAACTGATCCCAGAATGGACCAAATGGGTTTCCATCCTGCAAAGGAGAGAGAAGCATTCGCTCAATACACACAGGGCTGAAAGACAGATTGAACAAGATCCTGAGCTGAGAAGTCAAATTACTCCTCTGTTACTGGAAGAATGCAGACGAATATCGCAGCCTGTGTGCCCACATCAGCTCCACGGGAAGAAAGTGAAACACTGAATAAAGTTAACGGAGAAGTAAGGCAAAGGAAATTGAAAAGAAAAAGAACACCGCCGTTCACAAACTTGCTTTTAAAGAGACAGCTTTACAACTTATAGCTGAACAACTACACTGCATATGGGAACAAGCGAGGACCAGAAAAGAAGCCTTTTTTGTTCTAAATTTGTTCTCCTTGCAGTCACAACCAACTCTGAAGCAACATAACTCACGCTTACAACCTTCATGAACCCCATACTTGCTGACAAAGAAAGGCAGGAAGGTGCAGCTAGGCACACAGTGAAAGGAATGCACAGAGTGAAAGGAATGCACACAGAGTGATTTGGGACCGACAGCTCCCAGGTTTGCAAATGAATGGCAAGCAGCAGGAGGCAACTGCTCCTTTTGGAAGGCCTGCAAGATCCAGGCAGGCTATGGGGGTGCAGGAGGAGCTCACCTTCATGGGACAGGTGCTTTTGTCAGCACTCCTCTGCGCCGCAGCCTCAAAGCAGTACGCCACTCTCCTGCCGGGAGGCCAGTGCTGCGGTGCCAGCTGCTCCATGAACTGCTCCAAGCTGAACACGCGGTGGTACTGCATGAGGGGCTCCAGCTTGAAGTACTCCTCGTAGGGAACGTGCAGCTACGAGGCAAAGACAGCTTCACTCGGGGACCCGGGATCCCCCACCCAACCACGAGGCTCTCCCCGGCTCTGCCCGCCCCCCACTCCCCGTTCCTGGCTCACGTTGGTGTAGGGCGGGCGGTGGTGCCGGTACTCGATCCAGGGCGGCACGGCCAGGGTGCGGTTGAGGGCTCGGGCGAAGGCCAGGGCGCCCAGGAAATGCTCGGCCTGGTTCCCGAAGCGGCCTGCGGGAGGAAGGGAGAGCAGGCTTCAGCCTTCGCCGGGACCTCTGCACCGGGCCCAGCGGCGGAGGGAGGGCCTCACCCATGCAGGGGCAGTACAGCAGGTAGCCGGCTGCATCCCAGCCGCCCGCCGCCACCGTTACCGTCACAAGGAAGAGAGCGGCGCCGGCCAGCGGAACCATGGCGGCGGCGGCAGCAGCAGAAGCAGCAGCGGCGGGATAGCACCCTGTCCCGGCATGCCCCGCGCGCTCCGGCACGGCCGCTCTAACCGGAAGCGGCCGCCATCGGGGCGGAAGTAGGGCTCGTGACGTCACTCCCACAATGCCCCGCACAATGGGGCCGCCGCGGCCTGGGCCGGAGCCGCGCCTGGCGGGGCCCGGGGGAATGGGGTGAGTGCGGGCAGCGGAACCGGCCCGGGGGCGGCGTCGGGGCGGCCCCCTCCCCTCCGCGGCCGGGTTTCTCCTCAGAGCGAGGTGTGAGAGAGGGGCGTGAGGGGGCAGCTGGGGGACGTAGGCCCGGCCCTCCTCCCGCCCTCCCCTCAGCGCTGCGCCATGGAAACGGGGAGGGGGCGGCACGAGGGGCCTTCAGTAGGGCGGGAGATTCTCGGTGGGACCGGCGGTTCCGCTGTTTCCCTCTGCCGGCTGTAGGCGTTCGGTCCTTCAGAGCCATATGAGTGGAAGTAGAGATTTGGGGGATAAGTTGCCCCGGAGCCATTTTGCGTGCGGGGTTCCCCGCGGTTCGGAATCGGTTCGGCCTTTATGTTTCCTCTATGCGCTGTCAGTGGGGAGATCGGTAGGGATTTGGGGGATGAAACGGTCCGCGAAGGAGGTTCAGGAGGGAAAAGCACCCGTGTGGCCAAAGGGGCTCTGAGTGGAGCTTCAGATATTACAGAGCCATAGAACCGTTTGATTTGAAAGGGAGCCTTGTATACATGCGAGGGGAACGTCCAAGGTGCACCCGGGGTCAGGCAGAGAGGTGAGGCTGAGGTTGGAGCTGGAGTTCTACTTGCAAATCATGGAGCAACCAGAGTTGTTTACTGTGAGGAAATAAGAGTTGGCATAGGGGATCCCAGTGCCGCGTGTGTTGGATGTGTGGTTGTAACCACAGGGGCAGAGCAGCCCCGCGTGTGTGAGGAGGGAGAAAAGTGATTTTCACACCTGACTGTAGTGTTGGCAAAGGCAGTACTGAAGGACTGCAACCAGGTCAACACTGCTGATGTGAGAACAATGTTGGAAAATGACAGAAGATACGGAAGAGTCATACCAACAGTGTGAGGTCTGGCAGTAGCACTTTGCAATCGGAGTTGGAGCAGAACTCGATTAGGATCCTATAATGGGGCTGGGGGTGGCTGTGTTTCGGTATGAGCAGCAATGCTGCCATGTTGTGGTCACTTTATTGGAGTGACTGTGGGGAAGGATGGAGCCCATGCTCCTGTGCCTGGCAGGTGCCAGTTCTGCCAGGAGCTGCACTGAGCCCAGCTCCAGGCTAACACTGAGCTTCCATCAGAATTACAGCTCTCTGCTTTTTCCTGTCTTGCTGGTGCCTTCCACCTGAGCAAGTAGAAGCCTGAACAACTTAAATTAGCAAAGGAAACCTGAATGGGGCACTGATGCAGCTCAGAGAGGAAAAACTTAAAAATAAATTACTTTTCATTGGGGTGAGTTCCTTCAGAGGCTCCATACTGCATAGCTGGGCCAGCTCCATACAGAACCAGGTGGAGACGCAGAGCCCCATGGCCAACCCCACCAATCCCAGGAGAGTTGTGAACACAAGAGTGCTGCCTCTGTGTTCAGGGGGGAAAGGACTCCTGGCACAGCAAGACCCACCAGACACAAGGGTGAACAAACTCAAATTATACACCAGCAATGCTCTCTAGAAAAGAGAAACTGCAGCTACGCAATATGGGACTCGTCAGGCAGGGCTGTTGTCCTGGCTTCCTTACTTCTGCCAATCTGCTGCAGTGGGGCTGACACAGCTCAGCTGGTGGTCAGTGAACCCATCCAGACTCCTCTTAGTTTTTCCTATTATTTTGTACAGGTCCCAGTTCTGTGGCACTGTAAGGCTGTCCAGGGGCAGAAGCTGTGCAGCAGTGCTAAATGACTGAACCACTCTTTGAGGTGTAACTACTGGAAAAAACCGTCAAAGCAAGGCAAAGGATTTTATGCCAGGGACTTTCTTAAATTTACACAAAGCTGACACTTTGACACAGTAGCATTTGACACAGTAGCAGTGAAATATGTCTTGTGAACTGCCAGCTAGTGGGAGACCAGTCCTCAGGTGGACGTTTTTTTGAACTTGATGTTCACTGTGAAAACTTCTCAACCTCTGTATAACTGAAGCATAGGAAAGATTCATCTGGTGATGGCAGTTTTCTGTACTACTCCTATCAGGGTTTTCAGGAGCTGCATAGGCTAGAAGTAATTTTATGGACTAGAGTGGGACTTTCTTAGGATAGAGAGTTTCTTCAGTGCTGGTACCAATGCTATGGTCTGAAAGAAGAGAACAAGTGGAGGTGAAGTGTGTCTGTGCTGTAGTGACTGTTTCTCTGGTGGCTACAGCATTAGAATCAATGTGAGCGCATTGGAAACATACTTTGAATACAAAAAATGGATTGTACAGAGAATTTTCTAGCCAAGCATGAGCTACGTTGTTAATCTTCAGAAGGTCTGTGTCACTGTGCTTCTGCTGTTACTAATCAACGAATCAAGTTACTATAGAGTTCACTGATAATGTGCAAGCTCCTCATGTTGTCCTGTTTTTCTTTCTTATTCTGCAGCTGTCAGAGTGTCCTGTGACATGGCTTTAGAATTAGAAACAGTCTCAAATAGGTGGAGTCCTTTTGTCTTGCTAAAACCTCACTATTCTAAGGACAGGTTAATTAAATTTTACAGTAATCAGTTTCAGAGATTATCGTATCTTAACTCATGTGTGTTTGGGTTTCTGCTCAGAGAGCAATAGTTCATGTACCATGCTATTAAAGACAGCACTTCTCAAATTTTGTCTTCCTTCAGGTAGTTCTGAAACCAGCACAGATGGCTGAGCTTGTTCAGAGGGAAAGAAGTAAATACCTGGAGAAAATGGCAGAGACTCTTGGAATGTGTGCGCAGCTCTGACACAGGAAATAGAAAGCATTTATCTTTTCCAGCACCCGTCCCGTACAGAGGTGAAATATTTGCAGTCTCAGACACCTATGAAGGAAGACCACTCTGAACCACAGGATTTGTGCATCTTGAAGGGTAGGAGCAGCTGTCGCGTCGCACTGGCTTATATCAAAATGGCACCTCAGCAATGCCTGCCCTTTTTTTTCTATTGTGCTCTGCCTGTGTGGGTTCAGCCCGCGCCAAGCTGAACTCCGTTCTTAACAGACATTTCTAAACCTCGTGCTTAGTGACACATTGTCTTAAAGCCATCCCGTTTCCCGGTGCTTTCCACCCCGTGGGGACACTCAGGTGTTGTGATGGATTGTGTGGCTGTCGTTATTGTTGTGTCAGCTATTTATAACGTTCACTGGTGCACTTTCGTGGTGGGGGTTGGTGAGTTCCCTCACAGTTGCACATCCTGCCCACAACTGGCACTCATGCTGATGTACAGGCAGGAAGCTCCTCCCTCTGAAGCAATCATGGAGTAAGAAAGAGCTTGAGGGTTTGATGCTATTTTAAGAAGAGTTTCTTAGGCAGCTAAATTCGGTGAAAGAGATCTTTTCTGAGGTTTTTATTCCAGCTAACTGCTTACTGGTAACTGCTGGTAGAACCTTACAGAAACACAGCGCTCTACCGACAAGACAAACACTACTGGAGAACAACAGAGAGGGTAATTCAGAGAGGGAAAACTTACCCTGCGATAGAAAACAGCACAATGACTAATAGCACCCTCAGGAGAAGTCGCATTTTCTGTCTTCCTGAAAAAGGTGTGATGTTGCTGGCAGAAGCAAAGTTTTCTTCCACAGCCTGGTTAACCTATGAGTGGTTGTGCAGATTGGTTTGCTAGGAGGTGGTCTTACTAGTGTAACAGGCTGGTGGGGTGAAAAACAATACATACATACCTTAGTTCTTCGGGGAAGTTCTAGAAAGGAATGCCATGTGAGCAAAGGTCAAGAGGAAGGAAGAACAGACTACAAAGAACATAGAAAAAGAAGATGAGAAGAAATTCCACAAAAAGAGCCTGGGAAAGGTGGGGTACATGGAGGCACAGGGAGACACCCACTTATTTCAGGACAATGCGTGCAGCAGGTAACACTGGTTGCAAAAACATTATTCAGAGAAGCTTAAGCTTTATTCAGGCAAGTGAGATAGGAGTTAAGGGAGAAAAGAGCCACATGGATTCTGGAGATGTGAGTTTCCCAAGGCTGTGAACATGCAGCATGAGTGTCTACACGTGTGCTTGTTGAATCTCACCTGTGTTTTGTGCTCAGGTGGAAGATGCAGGGCCTTAACACCAATTCTTCTGTGATTCCAGATGATGACGTTTTGCTGTTAAAGCAGTTTGGTCACTGAGGGTTCCAACGGAAACTGCACCCAGACAGCATCAAGTGAATCATCTGCAGGCTTGAGTTCTGCTTGACATGGCCATGTTGTACTAGGCCTGCCATGACGGCATTTTTTCCCAGTGTTCCCAACTGGATTCAAGATGCAAAGCAGGAGGACGAGGAGACAGGCTGGAAATTAGTTCATAGGCCAAGAGGTGAAGAGACTGAAAGTCAGGGAAAATGCCAATGTGAAATATCAGAGACCTCCTTCACCAATGTGGACAAGCTGAGAACTCACACGCTTTCTCATTCTGAGCAGAGACCGTACAACTGCCCTCAGCTGCACTGTGGCAAAGCCTTTGCATCTAAGTACAAGCTGTATAGGTAGGTAACTGCTGAGTGCCTGTGCAGAACAGTGCTCCTCTACCAGAAGAGGGGGGGAAAACCCCTCCATCGTGTTTTTTTGATTGAATTTCTGAGAAGGTGGAGGAGGGGGAATGCCCTTGTTACCTTGCAGAGCAGCTGAGTCCCAGACATTACCATACTTGGCATCTCTTTAAGCACCCTGCAGAGAGCTTCAGATAATAGTTTATCCTGAGCTCAGTATGTTTTTCGTTTTACTAAGAAGGAAATTGAAGCAGAAATTGAAGTTCACAGATTAAAAAAACAAAATGAAAAGGAAAATAGCGTTCACATTTGTTAAGCCCTACCTTTGTAGCTTTAATCACAGAAATATTTCTGTGGCACTGCCGCTCTAGCATGAAGTAGAGCTCACATTTATGCACTGAAATATTAGATAGAATAATTAGAGTTCCACTGGGAATTGACGACTAGATGAACCACAGTGTCAGACAGTATAGCATACCAAGATAAAATCAGTCCATATTAGCTGTCAGCAGACAGCGACAAAGTCTGATGCTTCCTGATGAAATGAAACTATCTCATCAGCAGACACGTATTTCTTGTCGTGAATTTTCATTGTCATTTCCCCCTCAACTTAAAGAACAGGAACCAAGTAGGCAACTGAAATGTTCATGTGCAGAGTTGATGCCTACTAGGGAGGACAGGTACTGCTGGGACAGCCTCATTAACCGGTGCATGAAATGCTGTGCTTCTGTGCCTGCTGCCCAGGCTGCCAGTTCTGCATCTGTTAGTGAAGTTAAAATGCCACCTGGGATTTTGATGGCATGAAGCATAGAACACGTGGAACATTTTGGAAAAGTAGCACGCGTTCTCTGAGGGGTTGGACACTAGTCTAAACTTTGGTGCTTTTCTCCCAAAAGGCATATGGCCACTCACTCTGCTCAGAAGCCTCATCAGTGCATGTACTGTGAGAAGATGTTTCACCGGAAAGATCACCTCCGCAACCACCTGCAGACCCACGATCCCAACAAGGAGGCCCTCCACTGTCCTGAGTGTGGCAAGAACTACAACACAAAGCTCGGCTTCAGGCGACACCTGGCCATGCACGCTGCCGCCAGCGGTGATCTCAGCTGCAAGGTGTGCCTGCAGACGTTTGAAAGCACCCAAGTCCTGCTGGAGCACCTCAAAGCTCATTCCAGACGAGCTTCTGGTGGAGCTAAGGAAAAGAAGCATCCGTGTGACCACTGCGACAGACGCTTCTACACCCGGAAAGATGTGCGGAGACACTTGGTAGTGCACACGGGGCGGAAGGACTTCCTGTGCCAGTACTGTGCTCAGAGGTTTGGGCGGAAGGATCATCTGACCAGGCACATGAAGAAAAGCCACTCCCAGGAACTGCTGAAGATTAAGACAGAGCCAGTCGACATGCTGGGTCTTCTAAGCTGCAGCTCATCCGTAGCGGTCAAAGAAGAGCTGAGTCCCGTCCTGTGTATGGCATCCAGAGACATGATAGGTGGTAAGAGCTTCCCTGGCATGTTGCCTGTAGGCATGTACAGTACGCATCTCCAAACCATGCCAAGCTCAGGGATGCCCCATTCTTTGGTTCCCAATTCTCTTCCAATGGGAATGAGCTATCCTCTGGAGTCGTCTTCTCCTATCTCTTCCCCACCGCAACCTCCTCCAAAGTATCAGCTTGGATCTACCTCATATTTGCCTGAGAAACTACCCAAAGTAGAGGTGGACAGCTTTTTGTCAGACTTCCCTGGCAGCCTGTCTCTCTCATCTGGTGAGCCTCAGTCCTCTTCGCCTCAGCCACCCGCTCTGGATGAGGCTTTGCTTTCCAAGAGCCCTGCTAACCTTTCAGAGGCTCTCTGTGCTGCTAACATGGACTTTTCTCATCTTCTTGGCTTCCTCCCCCTAAATCTTCCTCCTTGCAATCCACCTGTATCTTCAGGGGGATTAGTCATGGGCTACTCACAGGGGGAGACACAGCCACTGCTTTCCACTTTGCAACATCAACCTCAAGAATCTCCTGGAACTGGGGCCTCACTGAACTTTGGGCCCCTTCACTCGCTGCCCCCCGTCTTCACCTCAAGCTTGAGCACAACCACGCTGCCACGTTTCCACCAGGCATTCCAATAAGCTGAACATAGCACTGGAGAACAGATCTTTCAGTCACCCTTCTGTGGAGAGCCTTAAAAACGCACAACTCTTACTTCCCTTTGGGGTCTGAAAGCTTTGCAAAGCTGATTCAGACAGGAGGTTTCTGGTCTCTGGCAGGAGCACTTGTAAGACTTGAACAGCAGAAATTCCCATGCCAGTCTCAGTCCTGTACAGCGAAAAGTTTTCATCTAATAGACTGGATATATTTTATCTAATTTTTAAATCTGTGAATCAGGAGCCACACTTAGCACTGACCTTCCCTGAGATCCTGGAGCTATGTTCCTCTTTGGGAGGGGACTGTCCCTGAGAAGGAGTTGAGACTCTTTCATCTCGGGCTAAACGTTTGGAGAGTCCAGCTTCCATTTCAAGTGATCACACTGCTATTCTGGCAAAGCAGCTAATACCTTCAATGGAGAAGGAGAAGTCAAGATACCCACGCTGTATGAAGCCAACGGGGAAGAAGCTGTCCTTCCCCACTACCTCTCACCCAACACAGCTTACTCCATCGAATACAGATGACTCCACATCAGTGTTAAACAAAGGACCGTTTACATGCAGAGTTCAGACATCACCTCGTTCTTCTTTGCGGAGCCTTTAGGTTAAACTCAACACAGTGAACATTGTTTACACAACGCAGTTCTGTTTCCACCGTTACAAAAATAGGAGGCACCAGAACACACTGGCCTTATATCTGGTGTAGCTAGAACACTGTTTACACAACGAAGTCAGGTTGCACTGATTTCTCTTCACGTATCACATTTTTCCCCCATGGGGAAATACATTGCTTTCTGGACCACTTCAGCCTCTGCCACTGGAGGCAGCAGCTTCCTGCGTATTTTCTCTGACTATCCACGTGTCAAGGGGATGGAGCAGCTTGCAGAACTAAGCTTATGTTTGTGGTGTATGTATAGAGCCCTTTTAAATATCTCCTACAGGCAAACAGATCATACGTCTGTTTTGGAAACCAAAGCATGAGAAAAGGCTGGGCTAGGAGGTGGGGGCCCACAGCTCCAAGTCTCGTCCTACCAGGCAGGGAGGAGAGCAAGCTTCAAGCCCCTAGGTTTGCTTTGTTTTATGAACCACAACCATTCAGCGAGGTCAGTACCTTCTGGCTTACCCATGAAGCGGTCTCAAGAGATGCATGCTTATTTTTTTTTAACCTGTCCTAGGGTGAAGACATCCAGGAACTGGGAGGAAAATTTGGTCCCAGCTTCATTTACACTTGTCACTGTATTTGAAGCATTTTTCCCAACACTAAGTTCTAACAAATGCTGAGGGTTCAGGCCTACAGTCACTCTTTCACTTAGAATTTGGTCCCCCTGGCCTTTTTGTTCTCTGCTTAAGCCTTGCCTCCAGAAATCCAATCCTGCTCCCCCTGCTTCCAGTCCTACCTCCCAAATCCTTCCCTACCTACTGTGCAGCCAAGCAGCAGCTGGCTGCTGGGTGTCATTTAGCATTTGTATGGTCCCTGCTCTCACATTCTTGAGCGTTCTCATTGAACCTTAGAACCCGTTTCTGGTTATAGACACATGGATCTTCATACCTCAGCATGCAGGAACTGCCATAGGCCAATATCAGCCAGGAAATCTGTCAGTATGATTCCCTGTAAATCTAGGAAATGCAAAATCTACCTCTACTCTGTTAACTCTTTCAGTGAAGCCACATACTGTCCTTGCTCACCTCCCCAGAGCACCCATTTCAGTCAATGGTACCTTCTGCTGAGCCACCGATCCCACAGTGTGCCTGTGCTCATGGGCTTGTCCCCTTCCATTGTAGTGAAGAATTTTATTTTTAACTTAGTTTAGTGATTCTTCCCAGAATGACTTTGTAGTGATCCACTGATTCTCCAAAACATAGATCAGTTGTTTTAGATTAGCCAGCAGTGCTGCAAGTAATACTTCTGCATCAAAATGTAATATAAGATTTATTTACCTCGGCAATGTCCTGTGGCAATGATTCCCCTGGGTTGAATGCAGTACTTCCCTTTCTCCACTGTAAATTGTTGCCTTTCCAAGTTCAACGAGTGCCTTCTTGTTCTCTATCATAGAAAAGGTAAATAGGGCATCGCAGCAGTCTTCTGTTTACCATCACTGAATACCTCAGTCTCATCTGCTGTTGCTTTTCTCCTTGCAAATTAAAGAGTTTCACAGCGTTACCAGTGATATGCAAGCCTTAACCCTGTCTTCAGTTTTAAGAGAATAAATGGGTCAGAATGGATCACTTACAGCAAGGAGTGTCAGATTTATGCAATGCCATTGCACACCTTCTTTCCTTTCTGGCCTTCTTGCTTTCTGCCTGCATTGTACTCCAAACAGACGTCAGCACTGGAATTCCTTTAGCAGCGGTAGCAGAGCTTAGAGCCAGGCATCTTCCTCCTACCAGTAGTCTGTCAAAGAATAAATGGAATTCGTTTCACTATTAGTTGCACGTGTGGTTTGCTTTGCACAGCTCCTCCAGCGGACCTGCAATAACATTTGTGAGTTAAATCAAACCTGACAGCAGCAAAGGGAGCACTCTTGCAGACTGAAGGCTGCATAGCAAGTGTTTGCACTGGAAGCTGGATTCAGTTTCTGCTCCACAACAGAGCCTAGTGCTTGCAAGGAATTTGTCAGCCGGTCTGAAATAACAGGCCGCTTCCATTTGGAATGCTAAGCACACAAACATTATTTCCTGAAGTGAATCAGTGGGCAACTTTTAGCTGATTTCTAAGAAAACAACGTTGAGCTTCTAAGATACGCCGCTTCAGAGTCTAAATTCACTGGGAAGTGTCCACTGAGGTACCAGAAAAATCAGCAGACATCACCCTCAGGCAAACTGGTGCTGTTTGTAGATAGAATGCAATGTTGGGTGCTGCAGCACAGCCTGCAAAATTGTTCTGTGTATGCACAGGATATTCGTGCGTGAGGGGACAGCATTCATTGTGCTGCCAGGGCTGGATGTCACTGCAAGTCAGCCAGGCAGATGGAGCCATCCTGGGAGGGACAAAATACTTCAATGGAAGAGTTTTTGAAGCAGGAATTTCAAAGAGGCTAAATGAATGCAGGAGACAGCAAGCTCGGCTGGGTTTTACACTGAGGTGTGACAGCAAAGCTCTTTATTGCAGGCACATCTGTGCCAGGAAGATGTCATCAGATTGAGCCCAAGGGAAGCAACTACAGCGAATAATTGGACAGGAGGGTTTAGAAATGCTTAGAGGCGGGGTTAACTTGAAGGTTCAGGACTGTGCAGATAGCCAATGTATAGAGCACGAGTCCAGGAAAGGACAGGACACAACCTAAACAGCAATTGTAGATCAGAATCTCCCTAAATTATCAAAAAGATGAGGATGTAACATCCCACTAAAACAAGGATGCCCTTTGCTCACGCCAGGTGAGCCCCATCCACAGCAGCACAGGATTAACTCACCTGGCCAGTCCTTCCCAGGCTCACATTTCTGGAGCTGTGCAAGAATCCAAAGAGCTTTTCCCCATGGCATTACAGCTTGCTCAAGACCCGTTTGCATGAAGGAACAACACCTTAACCTGCATTTGTTTCCAGTGAGTTTCACTTGACAGAACACCCAGCTATGGCACTTTGACAGATCCCGCTCAGCTGGCTCACATTAGTGCCTGCTCTTTAGCCCTGGTGTTGAAAATGTCACTTCAATGGGAATCCCTCTTTCCCCTCTGGCAGATGGATGATCTCAGTCCTTTTGTTGGGAGTTCAGCTCTTTGTTCTTTAATTCCTTCCTTGCTGACAGGTGAACAGCAGCTGCTTGGGAGATTTCCTGCAGTTCACTGAAAAAAAAAAATCCTGGTTTCCTTTCTCTGACTTTGCTTTGCCTTTGCTGTCTGGAAAGAATGATCCCACAGAGGCATTTTCTACTTCTTGCAGTTCAGATTCTTAAGAAGCAATCTTCAAAGACACTCTCCCCATCACCGCCACCTTCTTGCTCCTCTCTAATCAGTTACTCAGGCTCCCTCGATTCTCCCTTGGGTGCCTATTTCTCAGTTAATTACTTGAGCCCAGTCAGATGCTCTGCTGCTACAAAAGGCGAAGTGCACGAACCAAGGCAGAACAGCTCAAACAGAACCACTCCATTAAAACTCTTTGAGTTTCCATCATCTTCATCCAGGATGTGCTGCTTTCTGTCACACTCGGCTCGTCTCTGCACTGCTCCTCACCTGCCACGCACTCACCTCACACCAGTGGATGAGCAGGCTGCTTCAGGAGCCCTTCCACATACCTCAGGCATTCTGTACCTGCAGGTAGGAAGTCTTCTCCCACGGCATTTCCCAGCAGACTCTGCCATCCCCATGCTGAGCACTCACCAAATGCTTCGGAAGCATCTTAAGCAGAATTCTTCTTGGGTCTGATTTTCTGATGTCCAAAACAGATCATATTCTGCACATCCACACCCGAGGTTTAGCTTTGCTTTCCTATTGAAAGCACAGTTTGCTTCTTACGTGCACAGGTAGTTTGCATGCTCTGCACTGTGTGCTCGTGGCTGAAGCTGGGTCTTCCCACTGGTGCCCAAATTCAGCACACGCACCCAGTGACATGGAGGTACCTTCTGTGTGCTGGAAGGTCACTGTGACAAGGCACTGCAAAAGAAAGTTATGTGGAATTTGGTCTATTAGATACATCAGCTCTTCATTTTCAGTTAGGGAAACGATCCTCAAACATCTTGTTAACACGCACCTCACTTTAACTGTTACCTTCCCCTTCATCCTCACCATCTGCTTCACATATTGTATCATTCTTTGAAACTACTATGCAAGTAGACAACCAGGTCTGATGGCGAATGTACTGAGACAACAAAGAGAAAGCTGTGCAAAGCCTATGGGACAGGGAGAGCTCAGTGCAGGCCCAGGTCAGCAGGCCCACAGCCCATTCCTGGGTGTCCCCAGCACCCTCTGCTCCAGGCTGGTGCACAACGCAGTACTGGTGGAAGCCAGTCCTGAGCTCACACCTCCTCCTAGCCCTATTGAGTGCCTAAGCCTTGGCTTTTTTTTTCGTGCTAGGGGCCCCTAATATCTAGCAAATATTTTTAGAAAGTTTGTTTTGTAATGTTTGTACTGGTATTTTACTTGAATGAGAATATTGAACAAGGAAAAAAAAACAAAAGTAGAGATCTCTGCCCTTGAGGTGGTCGCAGAGGAAACCTGTGGAAGCTGTGAAGATCCCCACTGGGAAACCGTCATGCTTCAACACTGCTGCAGAGCCACAGGGAGAATCCCAGCCCTGCTGAGGATTGCCGTGGGTGGGATTGCCCACAGCCCAACTTCTGCTCATCAGAGGCTCCTCAGATCGAGGGCAGAGCATGATGCAGAGCTCACCAATGTCTCAGTCGGAGGGAAGAGCCTGGGACTCCTGCTTCTGGCAGCCAAAGGCAGGACACGCCATCAGCCACCGTGCTGCAGTTCCTGTTCTCCGGTGCTGCAGAGCTCTCCCTCCCCACTGCTGTCCAAGGCAGAAGCTTCCCATGGGTACAGCCTGATGTTTTTCTATAAAGAAACTTTCTAGCACTTTTGTACACAGCAAATAACCTCTTTTTAATGGAGTATTTTGAGGGGCTATAAACAAGGTTTTTTAATTGTAAAAAAAAAAAAAAAAATGAAATGAAGTGCCATTAGGAGATGTACAGGTCACAATTAAAATCAGTGCTTTCATTGTTTTGCAAAATGAAGTTCAAATTGAAAGCTTTTTTTTTTTTTTAAATAAGGAAGTTGTTTATTAAAAGCATTTGAATCATGCACCCTGGGTACTGTTGTGGAGGGGAACGGGGCTTGGGTTGGCCTGGTGTTAAAGCAAGTCAGAGATGCAGTTTCCTACACAAATGCCCAGACTTTGACCTTTCTTTCAATCACAGAATGAGACCCAAGGAAGGACACAGCACCCTGCCTGGGCAGCCAGTGCCATTCTTTTGCACTAAGGAGAAAACCAGTTGTTAGACAGCATTGGTCCCTTGGTTCCACAAATGCCAGCCCACACAGAAGCACTGCGAAGCATCCAGACACGCTCAGCTCCTCAGGATGGTGCTGAACCAGAACCAAACTCGCAGCTCAAGCAGGGAGCAGCCATTAGCAGGAGCTGCAGCAGCGCTTTGCCAAAGGGGAGCAGGGTGCTGCCCCCTCAGGGATCTCTTTTCAGGATAAGGTGTAAAAGCCAAGTCATTTTCAGTGCCCAGATACTTTCCTGGGTCTGATCTTGTTCTCATCCCTATCTCAGATGGGTGAGACGTGCCCATCCCCCCTCAGCACTCTCCTCCCTCGCTAACACAGCACAGTGGAGATAGCTGGCACTTCTGCATTCTGCTCAGAACCAAAAGTAGCAAGATCTGCACAGACTGTCCTGGTGGTGGAGCTGAAGCCTTCCTTTGCCTTTTAAGAGAATTGACTAAGCCAATGACTTTTTGAGTTTTGATCTTAAAAATGCAATATTTCCCACGCTGATCTTGGCAGCTGATCAGCATCAGACATTCAGCAGCCACCGGTGCCGGCAACCCCACAACCCACAACGATCTCACTGCCACCTCTGAAGGAAACTTGTTGCTCTTTTCTCACAGCAAAAACAGACAGGCAAAGGTAAAGACATCGAGCTAAAAGCCAACGGTGAAGCTCACCATCCAGCAGCACCCACACACCTACACAACACAAGCAGAGGGGAATGCAGCTCCCTGCCTGCTGCCCTGCAGCCCCACGGTGCCTCTGCAGGCACAGTGCTCTCAGCATCAGCTGCATGAGTCGCACAAACAGAGTGAATGGAGCTGCAAACCATCTGACAGCACAGGACGTGGCAGCAGTACTGCAAGGAATAAATCAGAGTACCTTGGCTGGTGGCAGCTTTGTGGCAACGTGCAGGACATGCGGCGCTGGGAGGAACCTTGCTGCTCCATCAGGTTCTCCTGGAGAAAAATAGGACGGAAGAAACCAATACCCCAAGCTCTGCTTCTGATGAAAGCATGCAGACTACAGGGGTGTCTGAACAGGCAGAGCATAATGGGAAGAAAATCAAAGAGGCTGCTTAGGAGAACCCAGAACAGGACAACGGCAGATTTATTTACAGTAGGACACAAAGAATACATACATTAATTAAAAATTACAAAGAATACAGAGAAAACACTTTGGGGAAGGAGAGAAATCAATGCTGGCTGAGCCTCCCCGCTGGAGTGGAGATAGCAAAATAAACCCAAAATCTCCTCTACGATCTTGAATCAGAAGTGATGCAGGGCTCACAGGACAGCTGGCTCGTGTGTCCCCTGCTCTCTTTTCCCATTCTTGATTCCTGGCTGGGCAGACTTTGGCATGGTGGGGGGGGCTGAGGAGGAGTCAGAGAGACTGGAAGCTCCCTGTGGGGACCAAGGCCACTGCTGAGAGCCATGGGTCCTTGCATGGACCTGATGGAAACCCTTGGGGCAGTATGAATTAAGGAAAG